AATACAACCTGCACTCCCAATTCCTTCACCCTTTTACCCGGAGTACATAGTCTCTAATAATAATAATAATAATAATAATAATAATAATAATAATAATAATAATAATAATAATAATAATAATAATAATAATAATAATAATAATAATAATAATAATAATAATAATAATAATAATAACAACAACAACAATAATAAATACTCTTTATTGCATTAGCAAGAAAGCCATAGCAACTGTACAGGATTAAAAAACACACACAATTGTCAAATTTGTATATAGGTCGACAGTTATCAGCTGTAAACAAATTAAACTCAGGGAGATTTGTTTTCTTAATCACCACGGCTAGAAAGGAAGCTACTATAGCCGTGGTTTGAGTGTCAGGGGAGTTATCAGACAATAGCACTGAAACTGCCCAAGGAAGGAGGGGAAGCTTTTCTTTTCAGTCTCTTTTAATATGTTCTGAGCTGTGCCAGGTTGTATCATTTGTTACCACATAGATGAGCAAGAAGGGATAATAATCCGTGGGCTTGATGTGTCTTCCTACCCTTTCCGTCACATCCTGGATGCATGCACCCGGTAGACAGCATACCTCTCGAGAAGACAAGTCCGGTCGGCACACTTTAGCTTCTACCCCTAGCTGACACTGGCTTGGGAAATTCCTGGAGGTTTGGGGACAGAGCCTGGGGAGGGTGCTCAGCAGGGTTGTGATTCCATGAAGACTGCCCTCTGAAGCTGCCATTTCCCTTAGGTGAACGGATTTTTGTAGTCTGGAGATTAGTTGTAATTCTGGGGGACTCTGGGTTTTGCCTAGAGGATGACAACTCTCGCCAGTTTCCTGCAGCAGCCGTTTTGTGGTTTGCTCCACTTCCTTCAGCACCCACCAGACTGTGTCAGAAGGTACCCACAGGCTCAAAAAGGTTGGGGACACCGGTCTGGACAAGTAACTATTGGTTTCATTTGGGCAGTCCTTTCTTGGGGTGAGGGTTTCTGTTTTGACTGCCACTCGGGTGGCTAACGGACAGCATCACTCAGGAGTGAAAGGGATTGTTCTTCTGGCATCTTAGGTCATCCCTTGTCAGGGGCATTTCAATGCTTGGTAGGAGTTGCCTAGCCAATCAAGTGCTTTGTAGGGCTGCTGCTTGGCATATACGCATTCTTTCACCAACCATTCCATTGCTGGGTGCCATGCAGCAGTTGACGGTCAGTCATGTAGAAGAAGGTACGTAGTT